TATAAAAATTTACCAGGTATTACTAGTAATAAACATAGAAAGCTTTTTAAAAAATAACTTCAAAGGCTTTTTATTTTTTTATTTATTTTTTATCTTTTTTTTCAGCTTTAATTCAGTTTATTGGTACATTTTAGGGATACAGTACAGTTACATTCATTGTTGGGATCTTGTACCTCTACATGACAAGTCTTGATTCTCGTTTTTTCCCCTTACCTCTGCCCTCCCTTCACCCCCTCCTCCCCTCCCCATCTACAAACACTTTATTTTCATCTTTTCATTCTCTCACATTTTTTTCTTTTCCCTTTTTACTCTTCCCCTACCCATCCCACCTTCTTTCTGAAAAGTAAAATCTAGTCACTATATACCAGATACATATTCAGTTACGAAATTAATGTTTCTATATTTAACACATTTAGAAAATATAGATTATCCTTGCAAGCATTTTCATGAAACTATTGAATGAAAATGATCACATCACCTGTGTTCTTTACAATGAACTGCAGTCAGTAACACTTAGTTCATAGAAAGATTGATCTCTAGTCCAACAATAAAAATTCCCATGCATGTAAAGTACTTTTCACACTGAAGAGATGCTTTGTGACCATTTTCTTTTTAATTTTTCTCTGGGAGAGACTTTCTGGTGGTTAGCACTCAAATGATAGCAAATGCTAAGATTTTATGTATAATACAATTTAGAAAGCAATAATTTTGTTTAAATCTCACAGTCAAGTAACTACTTACATGGAATTTAGGAAAAGCTCTCCTGAGGACTTGACAAATGGTACTTAAGATCCTGTCATTATTTTCTATGTGGTGTAAATTTTTCTTGATCAAATTGTTTGAAAAAATTATTTCCTTTAGAAGTCCTTCAAAGGATATTAATTCAATTCAAAAAAAGGAATCATTGATTAAATCCAACAGAATTGCATCAATTCAATTGCTCCTTATTGAATGATTACTCGCTATTACTTTACAAATATCACTGTGAGGATTAAAAAGATTTGCCATAGAATCAGAAGGTCAAAAATCAGTGGAAAGAAGACTAAAAATATTCCTTAAATTTAATTTTTAAATGCAGCTTTCCAAAAATCAAATATGTATTTTAGAGCAATCTTGACATCTTCAGAATTGCATAAATGAATTTAAATTTGTCAATGGTCTACTTTAATGAAAAAAATCACAACTGTCTTTAATTATTGTAAGTCATCTCTATGATGGTTCTAAGTTGCTCATTTTAGATATCAGAAATCAGAAATTATGGCAATTTAGTAAAATCAACTATCTAGAGGAGGATAATAAAGTATACACTTCAAATAAACAAAGTGTTTCTGTTCAAAATAGTCTATTTCTGTATATCGTATTTTTTCTAAAAATTCATAATATACCTTCTCACACAGAATAGAGCAATCATAGGAAATACAAGCCCAGTCACTACAGTCAATCTATATACTAACTATGCATGGATACATGAAATCAAAGCAACTTGACATTATAAAAGTAATCACTGGGGCAGTACTTGAGATTCATTATTTACCTCAACTTTCATTCCCCTCTTCCTCCTTAATAAACAGAACATTGACTTTTTTAAACAAGGACATTGTTTCCTAGAATCAAAGATCAAAGACTATGGGCAATGAATGAATATCTGATCAAGTTCAAAAGTAATACTGGATTTCAGGAAAATCTACTTAAAGAAAATGAACTCGTATTTGGGGTCCCATCTTTTGAAAAAAATTTTTGCCTTTTCTACTCCTCCTAGCCTGCACTGTATTTATAATGGTTAGAGCACCATAAGCCTTCATGAATCCTGAGGTATGAAAGGCATGCACTAGGACAGAAGAGAAAAGTTAAGAACTTGAGTTCTTGATGACACCACTTGAATTACATACAACCACTTCAATCTACAATTAGACTACTTTTACATGAGATAGAATTTATGTTTCTTTTAAGATAGCAATTTTTCCCATTACATTTTCTGTTTGTTTGTTTGTTTGTTTGTCTTTGGTTTCAGGGATCAAACTCAGGTCCTTGTGCTTACAAGACAGGCAGTGGAACCACAGAGCTAAATGCCCAGCCCTTCCCCATTATGAGTAGCTAAAGTGATTTTAATGAATTAGTCACTTTTACAAAATAATCAAAAGCAATAAATGAATGAATTTTCAAACTAGTATATCATTGTTATAAATTAATGTGTTTAAATAGACAATTTTAATTTTCTTTTATGGTATTAACAACATCAGTTTTCTTAAAATACTAATACATCTTGTACGAAAATCAACACTATGGACAATTTATTTTAATAATGTTTTCTTATGGGGAAAACATCTTTGAGAATTGAATTCCTAAGGAAAATCTCTTCTGTTACCCTAAAAACACAATAAATGATACAATGAAAAACACTGTATTTAAATTTTCTAAAATAGTTTAGAAAAAAATAGACATTTATTAATACTTACTTTCCTATTACATACTACACTCTTTTGTTCAATTCTTATAGTACATATTTTAGGTATTTGGTGTTACTCTCATGTTTTAAAGGAGAGCCCTAGAGATATTAAGTAATTTTTCATTGTCTTTAAATAATAATTGCAACTTCAAATCCCAAACTCTCTTCATAATATCCTTCTATAGAACATGAACTGACGTGGTAACAGGAAGAACACTTTCTAGTGGACATTATTTTGCTATTCCTATCTCCAAGATTCTGTTTTTAAAAAATCAATGGATTCTATGTAAGAATAATTGCTGTATAAAAATTACATAAAACCTCCTGGAAAGGGTCAGGAAATTTTTTGAAAGCCAAAAGCTCTGCACAACCTAACCTACTTCAAACTCATATATGGAAAGAGAAAGCAAGAGCACAGTAGGATGGAAGAGAGGGCCAAACCTGCAATATCTACTGGATCCTACATAAGAAGGACCCTATTCTGTTACCTAATTTTTTCTCCAAACTATATTATATATATTGGAGCTCTGAAAGCTTTCTTCTTCCTAACCTAGAAATAAAAAAATATGATCATAAGATTTTGTGTAAAAATAGTACAAGGATCTCTCCATTCCTCTTCTCCATTTGATCACTTTTTCTCTCCTCTATCCTAGCATTAAAATGAAAAAAGCCAAGTGCCAACACTAATTGTGTTTTCAAAGTGGCTGATATATTAAGCTACAGAGTCAGGAAAAACAAAATAAAGTCATTATGATAAAAAAAAAGCCATAGCCTACAAATGTATTGTTGTTTTAGAGCTTAGAAGTGCCTCTATTATCAACTATATGTGTGCTTGCAGGTATATTTTATGCCAAAGATAGAATACAAAGTTTGACACAAAGAAAAATGGTATTTGGTGTATTTTTAAGTCAAACTGAAACAATGTTTAGGAAAACAAAGATAAGTCTATTAAAAACTATGTTCTGGAATATTATTATTTTTTGTAATTGATAACAGAAAAATTAACTTTTTAAAAGTATCATAGAACCTAATGATTATTGTAATAAAAATGTATTTTAATGTTTAAGTACTTACCACCTCCTCCTCCAAGAAGACTGGCATTAGCTGTTTAAAAGAAAAAACAACACATTAAATAATATATACAAAACAGAATATGCCAGAGTAGTTCAAGAAAAAAGTACTTATGATCATTTGTCACAAAATATACATACACAAAATATGTGCTTTCATATAAAGAAAACCTTTATTACTATTTTATGGTAAATATGGAAACAAAGTCTTTGTAAATAGGGAAGGGTGAAGAGGGTGAAGGGAGGGCAGGAGTATGGAGAAAAAATAAGAACCAAGACCTGTCATGTAAAGGTACAAAACCCCAATGATGAATGCAACTATACTGTTTGCTTTAAATGTACCAATAAACTTAATGGGAAAAAATTACTATTTAATGGCATGAAATTATGAAATTAAAATATTCCATATAAAATTAAAATATTCCAGTTTTTCACTTTTTTCTCTTCAAATGGCTATTTTTGTAATGTACTTCCTTCTAATAAAATAAAAATTAAATATATATTGAGGTCCTTTTATTCTTCATCTATATCTAAATTAATCTTCTAAATATTCTATTTTATCAGAGATATAAAATGTTATTTAGGCAATTTCAGTGATTTTAAAGGACATTGCAACAAGGAAGTATAATGATAATTTAAATTAAACACTATCAAACAAAACTATCTCAAGCCATTATAGCAGTAAGGAATAATTCAAATAAAAGCAGATTTGGTAAAAGAAATAAACTTTAAATAATTCTAAGTTCCTACTTATTTCCATATTATTTCAGCCTACATATTTATAGAAGCCAAATAAGTATGAGAAAATCTCATTTGAATTTTATTCAAGAGGTCCAGTTTTCTGAAAGTTCCACTGTAGGTTTTTGCTAAAGTGTTAAATAATCCTATGACTATGCTTATCTAAATATAATAACCAGAAAACAGAATATATTCTGCACTGAGCTTTAGCGCATACATTCTTGTGTATCAGGTACTATTTTATTCCATTAAAAACAGAATGATCCCACAGCAGTGTTAAGGAAGTAGGTGGTACATGTGTTGTCCTATTTTTATGGATGTAACAGAGTTAACAAGATATTAAATAAATCATTTAGGAAACAGGAATGAAGGTCTTTTACTTGAGTTTTTCTGTACTTTCCACAGACTAGGCACTACTATAATTCATGAGGCGTAAATAACAGTGTTAATGATTCAATGAGTAAATAATAGGTAATTTGAAGAATAAATGCCTGTATTCACAGTTCCATGAGGTTAAATATGTGATGGCACCTGGTGTGGTGGCACAAACCTGTAATCCCAAGACTCAGAAGGCTAAGGCAGGACAAACTGCCCCAGGTTCAAGGACATTCTGGGCTCTATAGTGGGTTCAAGCCCAGCCTGAACTATACAGAGAGACCCTATCTCAAAAAACAAAAACAAAACAAAAACACCCAAAATACGTGATGGCTTGATGATTATTACAACACTGAAAGCACTTCATAAAAAACCTGAAGAACAAATGCCTTTGAATGCTGAGTGTTTTCAGTATGTCAGAACTGATCTTCAAGTATAGTATTATCTAATTGGCACTCCTGCCCTCCCTTCAATGTTTTTGTCACAAACATACACAGAGCAGCAATGTCACTAATCAATTAGAAACAATACTTACTTCTGATCTTGCAAAGTCACCTACCACCACCCTATCACTGAGGTCTCCATATTGTTCTGAGTACATCATGTAATGGTGTGTAACAGTTATGTAAATCCCAGCCAGGACTTAACATACTTCCCTGAGTCAAGTTTCATAACCATTAAAGTGGTAATTTATTGAAGGCAAATGAGAATAGATATTCAGAATTCTAATTTGTCTCATACCCCAAAGGTATGAGAAGGAAATTTTCACAATTGGTCTGTGACTCTACACTAATCCAAATATTTTCTAAAATTATAGCTACATTAATTTATAAAACCACATGGCATTTTGTACCCCTGCTAATTTTTTATTTTCATATTTAACTGAGAACTGCTTCCCTAACTATGGGTCTTCCAGATCCCTAAAGGCTCCATCTGTACTTCCATTTTCACATAGTCAATCATTAAAAAAAAAACTGTATTCCCACTAATATAAAACAAGAATAAATAGTAGCTCTTCACTTAAATCATTATGCCCAGGAGCACAATAGCACAATACAGTCGATTTTCACCCTGTGTTTTGCTCTATAAAAGTGGTAGTACCTGTTTCAGGGTACACCCCAACAATCATCTGTTTAACCAGGCATTTGTCCAATATACTTGGGAGGAAGAGGGAGTTCATGTAGGAACTAGAATTCCAGTCCTGGCCCACCATCAATCAAGTCAGTTTATGTCAAATATGTCTTCATGTCTTGATAAGCATATCTGGGGTTTTTTCTTTTCCTTTTTTTTTTTCCTGGTACTGGGGATATTACTTGGGTCCTTGCACTTGTGAGGAAGGCAGTGGAAACACTAAGCTAAATCCCCAGCTCCACATATCTGTTTTTAACATCACATCAGATCTATTTTATAGAATTTTGGCATTTGAATAGTATACAAGCACTTATTAAATAATTTGATGTGTATTACCATTCCTTGAATAATTTTTTCATTTTAAACTACTTTATCATACTCAAAGCAGTTCCAATAACTAGAATCCTAATAATATTTTTTTCAAATAATAAATCAAACTTAAATTTATTTTATCCATTTCTGTTCTCTGAATTTTTAAAACAATTAAATTTATCAGCAAAAATGTCAAGGTAGCTGGGCATGGTGACACATGCCTGTAATCCCAGTACATGGGAGGCTGAGGCAGGAGGATCACTGTGAGTTCGAGACCAGCCTGGGCTACATAGTGAGTTCCAGATCTGTCTCAACTACATAGTGAGACCCTGTCTCAGAAAACCAAAAAGAAAAAAAAAAAAGTCAAGGTAATTTTCTTCAGCATAAGTGATAAAAATAGGCAAATAAAATTAAACTTCTAATATCATTTTGTATCCACATAGCACACCAACACCTGATAATTCAAGATTTATTAGTCAGATAGAGTAATATTTCTTTCATTTTAAGAAAGTGTCTAAAATTGAGCATCTAATTTCTACTTTGATTATTTCTAATAAATTGAGATATACCTCAATTAGACATGAAGTTCTTTGAAGACAAGGTCTGAGATTAATAATTTGGTCTGCATCTAGTAAATTCTTAATACATATTTTTTTTGTTTTCTGGTCCTGGAGATTAAATCCAGAGAGCACTGGGATGAGTCCCTACCACTTTATTTTATTGATTTATTTTGAGATTGGGTTTTGCTATATTCCTGAGGCTGACCTCAAACTTGAAATACTCTGCCTCAGCCTCACAAGTAGCTGAAAATACAGGGATACACCATCTTCCAAGGCAATGCTTATTTCTAACAGTGAGTAATTGGCAAGTTTAATTCACTTCTAAATGAGATAATGTCATAATATTATTAGCAATGGCATGACAAAGCTATAATGTATCAGACACAACTACATTCTAGTCTGTGTATAAAATAATCTATTATTTTCTACTATATGCATGATCTAATCTTTCTATTATATGTATAATTTTTCTGTTATTTTATACACAGTATTCTTTCTTATACTGAGCTAATAGCCATGTTATTTTAATTCTACTGCAATTGCTAAATAGCTTGGTAATGCAGGCAAGTCCCCTTTAACTATCTTATTTATCTTCATTCATCAGAAAATGCAAAAACAATCAGGAATGAAAACAGGTTTCAAACTATTCTGATTCCTTAGTCAAGAAACTGTACCTTTAATTTCAAAAAGATTCTGAGGAAAAAGAGGGGCTCCTTGTTTTTTACTTTTATTAGTGTATGTTTGCAGTATATAATAATTACACTCATTATAGGGAATTTGTACATGCACATAACATATTTTAATTCCCTTACTTTCCCCCCTCCCTCCACATCCCTTTATTTTTCCAACATCACAGTCATTTATTCATCTTATAAAACCTTATAGAATTAATTCTCATATACATAGACTCAAAATCAGACTAATAGGCCAAATAACTATAAAACATGTAAGACAATTATACTAGGTCAAGGTATACTTTAAATAAATTGTCCAAAATGGATTACAGTATCAATTTTTTTTGCTTTCTCTTGTTTTCCATTATCATATATATAATTATATATAATATACATTAATATAGAGTATATATTATAATTTACAATATATTATAATACATAATATATTGATATTATTTTATATTTATAATATAACATATAATGATATTACAGTTAAATATATATAATATATTTAATTTTATTGGTATATGTTAGGTATACACTATAATGACTTTTTTAATATAAGAGAAACCATGCATGTTTAAATTGGTACATCTGAATTACTTAATATTATTAATCTTAAGGTACATCCATTTTTCTATAAATGACTTTAGTTTATCCTCTTTATGGTAGAGTAATTGTCCATTGTATATAAATACCACATTTTTAATCCATTCATCTGTTGAAGGACATATATGGTATTTCTAAGATTTAGCTAATATGAACTGTACTGCTGTAAATATGCTATACATACATCATTGTGGTATGATGTCTTTAACTCTTTAGGGAAGACATCTAGAAAGGGAATAGCTGAATCAAATGAAATTTTTACTTAGGAGGTTTTCTTTTTGAGGAATCACTATAATGATTTCCATAGTAGTTTTATCAGTTTGCAGTCCCACTAACAATAGAGAAGGGTTCTTTTCTTGCTACATACACCCTCACCAGCATTTGTTTTTGGTTGATTGCTTTATGATATCCATTCTTTGTGGAGTGAGATGGAATCTTGGTGTTATTTTAATTTGCATTTCTCAAATTCTCAAATCTTGAACATTTTTTCATGTATTTATTTGTCATTTGTATTTCTTCATTTGAGAAATGTCTATTTATTTCGGATGCCCCACCTATTTTTTTTTTTTGGGTGCCCCCCCTTTTTTTTTTTTTTTTTTTGGTACTGGGGATTGAAAAGATGCCCATTTTTTAAT